CGGGAACTAGAGACTTAAAAATCATTACCGGGCATGTATGTGTGCATACCCTAAATGCTAAGAGGAGAATGGAGAAGGGACTAGGGCAAGTCCATATCCCCTGGGGGGTGGTTTCTCTCTTTCCTTCTCTCTATTTCTCTTCATCTCTTTGTCAAGAACATGTGCCCTATGGCAAAAAACAAAGGGAAAAAAATAAAGAACATGAAATCAATGGCTAATCCCAAACCAGAGAATTTGAATGGGAACCCTTATTCTCTACTTCCATGCAGTGGGAGCTACACTGGCAATGACACCCTTGCCTTCTATCTGTCTACGGAGCTCAGATGAAACAACTGAACACACAGATAGAGCTAGTGTTTGCCTCACCTCTTTTCTGTCTAGAGCGAGCTAACCTACTCAGTGCTATGGCACTGTGGCTCTTAAAGGACAGGATTCCCAGATGGAAGGCCCACTCTCATGCTGCCCTGACAAAGGTGGAAGGTGAGGAACAGATTCGCTACACCAAAGCCACATTCCTTAACATGGTCTTTATCAATAGCGAAGGCTGTATTTTGGTTCTCTGCTCACTCTCTTGTGTCTTATTTGTCCAGAAATCAGATGGATAGAAAGCACTATTCTTAAGGTCCCTTCAATGATAGGATTATCTACAACGTGAAGATCTTAACATTCAAATGTCAAGGTTAAAACATCAAAAAGAAATAAGGACAACTAACATTGTTGTACCACCAGCAGGGTCACAAGCACATAATGATGTCTCCATGCTGAGGCCAGAGAGCAGACAACCAAGTCTCCTCCAGGACTTGTCAAAGCCCAAGTGTTCACATGAGAAAGCCACATGTATCCCTGGTAACTGGCTGAGTCCAGTTCCAGGCCAAGCTGGCATGAAGTCAGGAGAAACAGAGTGATTCACAGTAAGAATCCTCAACTCCTTATCAGATAATGCATCTTTTTTTTTTTTTTTTTTTTTGAGAAGTTTTCACTATAGGGCACATGCACTCGCCAGGCAGACAGAGAGACAGAAAGCAAGAAATCACCCCGCGGAGGGGGGGGGGGGGGGCGGCCCTCCATTCTCCTCTCGGGATCTTGGGCACGCATGCACACGTGCCCGGCATGAGTTTTAAGCCACTGGGTCCGGGACATGAACCGCGGTCGACTACATGGGAGTCCAGCGACATAGCCATTACACTAACTGCTGGTCCTAGATATTGCATCTTTTTAAGTCACTACCAAAGAGCTGCATGGCCAGTGACATAAAATGTCTATTTCCTCGGTAGCTTATTTTGTATGTGGGTCAATCTTTAAGGTTTTCCCATTCATAGAGCAAAATTCATGCCCTGAAACAGAGAAACTGTAAGTCCTCTTTCTGAAGTCCAAAAGCAGGGCACATTCAGGTTTAAGCCAGGCTTTCCATTCAGACATCTGTAAAATAGATAATGTTACAATGCCTAGTTATCACAAGGATGTGATATGAGGATGAATGATACAATGCAGGTAAAGTGTTTGGCCTGGCTATTATCAGAGTTAATCAAATGAGTCATCTTTCAAGAAGATCCCAACTTTTGGAAACACACCTACATTTAAGCCACAACCAAAAGGAAAGCGCTTTAACAAAAAACCAAGCTATAAACATTTATGAACTTCAACCAATAGGCTAGTGCTCGTAGAGAAACTTCACAGAACGAGAAAGAAAGCGCTAAGGCGTATACAGAAAAAATCCCCAAACTCTGTAGTAACCAGGAGAATTCAAATTTAAACGGAAAGGATCTATCACTGTGCAGTCTATCAGACTGTTAAAAATTTCAAAGTCTGACTATTATAAGTATTCTAAAATGATATGAAAAAAATATGCACAGTGTGCTGTCAGGCCAATATGAAAAACACTCTTGCATTAGTTAGTAAAGATGAATATGTGCATAGCTTGCAACTCAGCAATTCTACTTCTTAGTACATCTCTCCCCTCCCCTCTCAGCAGACCAGTATTCTATCACCTGGAAGCCTGCTAGACATGCAAATTCTCAGGCTCCACTACAGACTTAATCAGAAGCTCAAGGGGTAGGGCTAGGAATCCATGTTTTAACAAGCATTCTGGTGATTCTCATATATACAAAGCTTGGGAAATACAGCCCTAGAGTATCCCTGGCATTTATACCCAGGTGGCGTGTAAAGGAATGTCGATAGCTGCAAAAATCTGAAAGCACACACTCAAGTCCATCAACAATAAACCAAATAAGCAAATTCTACCATATTCATAGCATGCAATGCTCTACAGCAGTGAAAATGAACAAATTATAGCTACACAAGTCAACTGAATGAATCTTACAAATATAATTCTGAGCAGTAAAAGCAACTTGCAGAAAAATATATGATACACACATGCAAGCTATATCTATACATCTATACATGATATATATAAAATACATCTTCTATCTTTACATATTTAAGGAATATACACATGGATAGTAAAGTTAAAAATAAAGGCAATAAATAAATATTAGAATAATTAGGATAGTGGTTAGCTCTGGAAAGTAGGAGGGGAAAAGAAGAAGTACCCTGAGGATGTCCAACGTAGTGGCAATATTCTATTTTGTAACCTAGCAGATATACTGATTTATTTTATATACTTCAATTATTTTTTAAACCGTACACATACAATTTATATACTCCTCTACATGTAGCACCTTTCATACTATAAAGGTGTTTTGTTTTATTTTGTTTGTTTATTAAGGGTGATCTTCAGGGGCCAGGCAGTGGCACTTCAGTAACTTTAAGTGTGCCACATGGGAAACGTCCTGGTGCCCAGCTGGACTGAGGGTAAATTGTGGCATGGGGACCCTGTAAAGGTGCTTGTCTCTCTTTCTCATAAAATAATTGAACTTTTTTTAAAAAAAGGAAATGATCTTATGATCTTCCTATACATACAAAACAGAAATATATGTCAATCTGTTTTAGATTATTTGTTTTTTCAAAGATTTGTTCTTTTCTTTTTGGAGAGGCTTTTGCTATAGGGCACATGTACTCGCCAGAAAGACCGAGACAGAGAGACAGAAAACAAGAAATCACCCCCCCCAAGGGGGGGATGGTCATGCCACAATCCCTTCTCCTCCATTCTCCTCTCGGGATCTGGGGCAAGCACGCACACATGCCCGGCGTGAGTTTAAGCCACCGGGTCCGGGACTCGAACTGCAGTCAACTACAAGGAAGTCTAGCAACATAGCCATTACATCAACTGCTGGTCCTGTTTTAGATTATTTTTTACCTGAATTCAAATATCAAACCTAAGAACACAGACTATATTAATCCTAGTGCCATCACTTGACAGAATAACCTCAGACACCTTAGTTAAACTATCTATGCTTTGGTGTCTTAAAAATGTTAAATGGGTATAGTTTTTCAAAGAAACAGGTAAGTTAATACATATACTTAGAATAGTTCTTGGCATATAGTAACTATTCAAAAATGATAAGCTACTACTAGGTTACAATTATTCTAAGTTAAAAATCAACATCTCTTACATCTAATTGCCAATAAATCATTAGCATCTGTGAGAACGATGCATCTACCTCACTCTGTTTTTGCAAATGCTTTGCTGTTCTGCAGTATCACACTTGGAACCCTGTCCTCTACTGGGTCCTTGCAATCATGTCAAAAGTATTCAGAGACCAAGTAAATCAGGTTCTAGATTAGTCTCAAAACACACACACAGGGACCAGCAGTTAGTGTAATGGCTATGTTGTTGGACTCCCATGTAGTCGACCATAGTTCGTGTCCTGGACTCGGTGGCTTAAAATTCACGCCGGGCACATGTGCGTGCGTGCCCAAGATCCCGAGAGGAGAATGAAGGAGAAGGGATTGCGGCGTGGTCATCCCCCCTGCGGGGTGATTTCTCGCTTTCTGTCTCTCTGTCTCTGTCTTTCTGGAGAGCGCATGCGCCCTGGTAGCAAAAACCTCTGGAAAAACACACATACACACACACACACACACACACACACACACACACATACACACACACACACAGAAACATGCCTGAGTCCATATCAACGTATTAAAAAATTAAATCACAGAAGCAACTGACAGATCTTAAACACACCAGAATAGTTCCAGTCTTATTATCTATTATTTCCAAATCAATTCACTGGCTCAATGATACTCTACATACACTAATGCCTTTCCCTAATTAAAAAGATGGTGGTACGGTATCAGCCTAGAAAAATCTGTTAGAATTAAGAGGATTGCTAAATGTGTGCCCTTCAGTTGTGGTTTTGAAGTGCAGCCTGAGGAACACTGGTAGAAACCAGTCCGCAGAGCTACAAGATACCTGGTTGTTAATATTGAACACAAAGCAAAGCCTTGCACACACTAAGTTCTCAAACTTATTCAAATAATAACATTATCCCTTGACTGTGTGTAAAACAATGGTAATCAGCAGGTCTCAAAATCTTCAATAAAAACCTAATACACCTTACTCACTTTATCAAAGAATTTTCCTAAGTTTCACATGCACTCACACATACACCAAACCATTTACTCTTCATAACAATCTTATGACAGATATAGTTTATTATTTCGCATTGCCTAGATAACAAATCAGTATCGCTTAAGGGAGAAATAGCAACAAAAATGACCTAAGAGTCTACTAGATGTTACACTTGAGGAAACAGTAAGCAGCCTGGTGGTGAAACATAATGCTCTGCAAGGCAAGGTCACCTGAGGACGTTCCTGGTTCAAGTACGGAGACTTCCCTGAATATGGCAGGCACACACTTAGCTATGATCCAGGACTGGCTGAAGTCTGGGATGCTTCTCCACATCAAGAACCTGGAGGAGATGCCCTCTCTCTCTTATTTCTCTTGTGGAATGAATCAATGAATGAATAAATCAGTGATGTTTAGAAAAATGTTATACTTGATCATGAAAACATTCCAGTTTGGAAAAACAGAAATATATTGAAAGCAAAATCCCCTAACTCACACCATATACATTTTTTTTTTTTTTTTAATCAGGGTAGAGTGAGAACACAGTCCTCTACTCACTACCACAAATTATGCTATCAAGTTTCCCACATTTGGGGAAATTGCAAGGGTCAGCTCAACCGGAGTGCAATGGATAAGTCTCGGCCTGGGAAAACCACCTTTGTGATCATGGTATCTTCCCTACCTGGAAAGTAGCCAAAATAAATTTTTGATAAGTAAAGTATCTAATGGTGAAAACATAAAAAGTAAAAATCTGATAAAGCATAAGTTTTGAGAAAGCTGTTTTTGGAGATTAACAGGCCTCAATTTATATCTTGACTCATCCACCTAACAGTAGTATTTCAAACACTCAACCTACATATGCATGTATAAATTTTAATTATAAAGAGGCAAGATTAGGAAATAAGGAATTCGAACCTTGACAATATCTATTAAATATGCAAATGCTAAAAACAGTAACCACACTGTTTTCCAAATGCTTTCATTTTCTGTCCTAAGATGTGATAAGCAATCTGTGGAATAATCCACTATTTTCTACATTTAAATACACCACTGTCTCTCTTTAAAACATAGTTTCTTCAATAACATTTCAAGTAGAAAAACAAAAACAAAAACAGAAGCCAAACCATGGGTTCAACTTAGTTTCATTTACAAAGTACTTCATTCTAAATCAATTTGTAAATTAAATCAATGGTTATGATATTCTCCCCAAATGTTATTTATCTGTCAAGCAGAGAAGACAGAACTGTAAATATAATTTAACACTGAGACCACAAACACTGTACATAAACAATTACTTTCATGGTAGAAAAACAATGTATGGGAGCAAGAGCAAATGAAATACAAATTATCTATCAATAAGCTAAAGCCTCATAAAGAGAACAATCTTTTGAAAAGAGTAAAATGAGGGAACCAGCAGTTAGCGTAATGGCTATGTCGCTGGACTCCCACGTAGTCGACCGCGGTTCACGTCCCGGACCCGGTGGCTTAAAACTCACGCCGGGCGCGTGTGCGTGCGTGCGTGCGTGCGTGCATGCCCAAGATCCCGAGAGGAGAATGGAGGAGAAGGGATTGCAGCGTGACCATCTCCTCCGGGGGTTGATTTCTCGCTTTCTGTCTCTATGTCTCTCTCTGTCTGTCTGGTGAGCGCACGCACCCTATAGCGAAAACCTCTCCCCCCCCAAAAAAAAAGTAAAATGATGCCTACACATGTAAGAGCATAAATAAATTAGACAGAGATGCCTTGGAGCAAACAAATCCTTAGTGGTAAATTACCTATGGAATTTGATTCCTTCATCTTCCTGACTCCCCATTGACAATCTGTAGCTACTAAACAACTGTGATTAACAAAGAGAAAAGGTTCTATAAAGAAAATCTAGACAAATACGGGCACTCTGCCTCCATCATGGCAACGTCTCCAATCTTTAAAAAAGCTACGGAAGCACAAAGAAGATCAACTGCACCCAAATATTCACTGAACAGCCGTAAAACTAGCAATCTGTGACATTATAAACCTTTCAATGTAGCTTTTTAAAATTAAAACAAAGTCAAAAACTGGGTAGGGCTCATTGAAAAGTGGGTCACTATGAAGCTCAGAGAAGGTATTAAGAAGCATCACAGAAATTAGAATCTGTTAACACCCAAATCTTCTGACTGAAAACTTCAGGTCAAAAAGATACTTAGTTCTTTGTCTCCACCTTCTTTCCGATAAAAGGACAGGCAAAAGAGGCTGTAACTTACAGAATTCCAAATATCTTTGGCTTTGGGCAGAAACAGTATTATACCAAACTACCAGAATTGCAGAAAAAGATAGTTGAGTAGGAAACCCCACAAAAGGTGTTTAGTGGTTTAATAGCATAAACATGCAAGTGACTTTTACCTGCAATGAAACAATCTCCTTTACTCTTTAAAATCAATTTTCAACTTTTTTAACCTCCCACATGTTCCCATAGTGTCCATGAGTCTTTCTGAATTTGGTGATGATTACAAGTATATATGGATGATTCTCCCTATTGAATGGAAGCTGTTAGGCACAAACAGGAATGGTACATGATTTCATAAAGAACAAAAATATGCAGAAAGAGTCTATACTGTTAGAAGTCATGTAAATAAATATCCTTAGGGAAAATTGATAGGAAATGATCCTGGTGCGCTGATAAAACAGTTCACTAGTGAAAATTATAGAGTGTCCTGGGGATCTTCAAAAAGTTCATGAAAGTGCTCGTTGTGAAAAAAAAACTATGCATGGATTTCAAACATCTTGCACTAATATAAACTCATACTGTAATACTATTTTTCCATGAACTTTTTAAAGTACCCCGTATGTTTGGTTTAGGAATATTTAGCACAGTATACACATACATGTTCAAACTGCTATATGTGACATTTCCAAAAAGTGTGTGTATGTGTGTGTGTGTGCATAATCTGAATTTTGAATTTTATAATTTATCAAGTAAAAGATAAGAAAACAGAACATTAGAACCCAATCTTGAAGATTTTGATTCCACTAGAAGTGGATGCCAAAGGAGCTTCAAAAAGCTAATTATTTTGGCTGCAAAAAAAAAAAAACACACTTTATTTACTGAACCAGAAACCTATAAAAGATGAACTTCAGACTTTGAACCTTTGTGTTAACCAATTAAGACAACAATAGAGGTAAAAAGTTAAAGTGGTCATAGTCTCTAGTTTATTAAAGATTTATGTTCAGCAAAGGGAGTGGATTATCTCCCTTTTAAACTTAATAAAATTAATGGTTTTAAAGTCATTTATTTCAGGTTTCACTTAATAGCTTCCCAAACAACTAACAGACATTTTGTGCAAGATTACAGTCAAGCCAAGTGTATCCACCCACTGAGCATAGGTCAAGTTACAAACAAAACAGTTCTAGGCTTTCTCTACAGCATACAAATCAGTGTTTGTACTCATTTACTCCACAAAATATTCACAGGAACCTGTCTGTTCGTCCTTTTGAGACTCCATTTCTTTTTCTGGAGAGGAAGGATTTTTACTATAGGGTGTGTGCACTCACTGGAGAGACAGAGAGACAGGAAGTAAGAAATCACCATCAACACCACCACCCCCAGGGAAGATGGCCAGATGGTGCAATCTCTCCTCCTGCATTCTCTTTTTGGGAATTTAGGCAGGCACGCACACATACATGCCTGGTATGAATTTCAAGTCTCCAGGTCTGGGACTTGAACCATGGTCGAACATGTGGGAATACAACCACATGACATGTGAGAGTAAAGCCACGTAACCAATACGCCATCTGTTGGTCTCAGCCCAAAGATGCCAAATAATTTCATTTGTGGGAGAAAAAGTAATTCAAAATAGTCAAAAATGGAAAATGTGCATTAAAACATATTTTAAAAATATTGGTGATAGAATCTCTTGCGTTAATTATCACAGTAAAGAATATGGCGAATACAGTTACAAAAAATATGCATAGCCATAGCCGGAGAGTGTACGGGCCCTTAGGAAGTATTTTAAATTCTAGGATTCACAAAACAAAAATTATCTTTGAGCATTTGTCAGCATAATACTTGTTAATCAAGACAGCTTGAATGACTTTTAAAAACTGATTATGAATCGATTTCTTAAGTTTTTTTTTCTTCTTTATCCAGAGGGATATATAAAATGAATGAAAATCTGAACTAACATTACTTTTTGGCTTCAGATACCAAAAGAAAGCAAACTTTTGGGTTGTCGGAAAAGTCATGAAGTATTTTTCTGTTTTCTATGCAAAAATGCATCATGACTTTTCCAAAAATCCAATAATTAAGAACAAGATAACAAAGAGAGAATGTAACTCAAAAGTTTATTATTTAGGGCTGCCTCTCCTACACAGTAGTTAAGCTCTGTGCATTAGGAGCCAGATCCCACTGGCCTACCACAGTTCTAATCCAGCCCATGGCTTGAAAACCATGCCAGGGCCATGTGTGTGCATGCTCAAACTCTGATAGGAAAGAGAAATAAAGGAAATAAATGGCAGCAAGATCATACCCTACTTGGGGTGCTTTTCTCTCTCTCCTTTTTCTTCTTGGTGAACACACATAGACCCTGCCTAATAAGCTAATTATGTACAATTTTTGAAAGGTAATTCATACAGAGGAACTAAAATGTCTCACAATATATTTATAGAAAGGACTACAGTCTGGTAGAGGAGGGAAACCATGTTCTTTGGAATGAAGCTCCACTTTAGGACAGATAGTTTTATTCTCTGTTTTCATTATACTCAACATACCAGAGTTCCAGTTTCATCATCTCTAAAATAGAAAATAAAATCACTTATTTCATGTGGTTATAACAATAATAAACTGAAAAAGTGTAACTATTCCCCTCCCTTAAATGAAAAACATTTAATTAAAAAAAATTGTTGTAGCGTACAGTATGGTTTCTCAGACATGCATACAGTATGTAATTGTCACATCACAGATATGCTCATATTCATCTTTAACACTGAACATTACATTATGTTGTACACATTTGACAATAAATCAACCAGTTTTTTTTAAAATATATATTCAATTGACAATGACATTTTTTAAAATGTCTAATTTGGGGACCAGCAGATGGCATGGTGGTTAGGGTGCTGGACTCCCACATGGTCTACCATTAGAGTCCTAGCACTGGCAGCTTGCTTTCTCACTCTCTTTCTCTCAAGTGCAGGTTCCTATAGCAAATTTTAAAATGATAACAAATAAAATTAATAAATAATTCTTTTTTAAAAAGTCTAATTTTTAAGATTTGTTGAATACCACCGTTATTAGTTTAAAAAAAGTTTTGATGAGTTGGCAGCAAGTATCTAAAGTTTCACTGATCTTCTCTGGTATATGTGACCTTCTAAGTAAATGAATAATCTATTGGCACTTACTAAATATAAAACAGTGAAATATCATAAGATTCCAAATTAGAGAAAAACCAAAAGGGTAATCCTTACAACCCTTACTGAAAGTAGTAATAAAAGTCTAATTTAGAGCAACAGAGCAACTTAAATAAACTCAAAACTTATTTTGTAAGGAAAAAATAGTTATTTTATATTTCTAATTCCAGTAGTTTCCAAAATAATATTCTAAATTACATACCTTTTACTTCCTTTAAAAAAAAAAAAACTAGTTCCTTAATCAACCAACACATTAAATAATATATCAATATAGGAGAAAATCTGAGATTTATGGTCAAGTAAATAAAAAATT